GAAAAATTGTTGCGCTTGTTGATGGACTTGGGGCCTGAGAAACATGACTCGTGAAGCTTGCGGCTCGCGCGGGTGTCACCTTTTACAGGGATTTCGGCCTCGCCAACTTTGAAAATATGGCCAGTTCCTGTCGAGTAGCTGCAATCTGGGAGTTGGTGTCTTTCTTCCTCGCCGCCGCCGCATGCTCGGCCATTCGCGTCCGGAGTAATTTCCTGGGTTTTCTGAGGTAATCGCTTTATCCACAACTGCACAGGAGCCGGTTAATGACCCCAACAATTTCCTGCCGTGGCAGTGTGTCTTTAGGTCTCATGACCCGGCGCCTGATGGTTGCATCTGGCCTTTGCACAACTCCAACGCCAAGAGGTGTGAGCAGGTGGCTGACCGTCTCTGATAACTTCTTCACTTACGGAAGAACTTGCGAAACGTTTGTGTTAGTTGAATGTGGTTTATTCTTTCGTCCCCGTCGCACTGGTTGAGAAAATTGTGCTCGTAACCATTTGCTTTCAGTACCCGTCGAGGATATTGTAATTCAGCAACTGTGTCTTCCACTTCGCTGCAATTGGTCTCAACGCGCCGGTCTAACGCTCTTACACACCTGCAGTGTCTGTTAACGTCTGCAAGAGGAAGCTGGACCGGTGCCCACTTCAAAACTGTAATCTTTAGCGTATTCTCACTATTACTATTACTATTCTTACTATTTGTGAGTAATACGTATTTTATTGAAATTCACGTAGATCGAATTCATCAAATATGTATTCAGTTCCGTGATGTCGATCAGAAACGGACAGTTGACGTCGCAGTGGGTTTTCCTGTTTTATTGACCTTGTCTGTAGGCTGAGAGTGCATTAAGAGAGTACCGGGATTGCATCTCCCGCATCTCGCTTGTGAGCTTTACAGTCCTATTCTCGTTTATACCCTAAGTTCACCCTAAATGTTTGCCTTTTAAAATCTCTCAGTATAAGATATGCTGGATCCGAGTGGGGTGAAACCTTTTTAAGTAAAATTTCTTGGAACAGGTACGATTATACTGACTTTATATGCTTTTATTGAGCCAAATGGAAGACAGCAATAAGTGAGTTAAGGAAATACATGCGTCTAGTAAAATATTAGGTGATATGAAATTGCATAAGTTCAGAGTGTTTATAGAAGAGCAAAAACATGCGATGAGTAATTAGGCCTAATTCTGGTGGCCGGATGGTTGATTAGAGTGTGGCAGTGCATCAAGAGATGCAAACCTCTTCCTGGAGATGTGCCACTCTAGTTGCACCTAAAAGGAAAAACAAAAATTAAATTCATAAAGTTGCTGAGAAATAAAACGTTTTTTTTAATTAGTCAAAATGTTTTTTAGTATGCATCCCGCATAGATAATGAATGGAGAGATTTCATATCTGAAGAAATGAGACCACTATTCTAAACCAATTTTTCATATGGAACCAAAATATGTCCCCCAGGCGAGTACGCGAATTGTGATAACACCGACTTTGTAGGACCGTATTGCAATTTGTAGCATCGAGAAAATTGACATTTAAAAAAATCGGACACTCATGGTTGCTTGGACTTCGCCTACCTCGCTCGGGATAGTGACTGGACGGTCTGCTGCTGAGGCATTGATTTTCGATTCATCCTTTAGGCCAGCCAAATGAGACCGGTTACGCTCAAGGACCTTAAATGCAAAAATGCATTTAAAACTATTATAGGGATGGGTTTTGGTGCATTTTAATAATTTAATTGTCCTCAATGTCAAATATTCAGCGGCCTCGGTGGAATCTGAAGCCAGGCCAGCAATGGGTAGACCCTAGTACAGCCATTGCTCTAGTCAACTGAACAATCGCTGCCAAACTGGATGCAGTAAATTTAATCATGCTAAGGTTGGTTTGCTAAGCTAACTACCCAAGCTCAATTTAGAGACATTTGCACGTGACCGACTAGGACCATGCGTGGGGCGAAGGTACAATGGCATTGTGGGCGGGATAGTTCGCGACGTACTGAGTTTGATGAGGGCTGCGTTACCTTAATGACGATGGGAGTTTGTTAATTTGGGGTAATTTCTTGTCTGCTCGTCAAAGAAGTGGATTCCTTACCACGGATACCCCCGCACTCCTAATGCACGGTTGGATATTTCCGTGGTCCGTGTTTTAACGGAACTTTTTCCTAATTAATGCATCTTCAAAGGTACACAACTATTCCCTACGTCTTGTTTTGAACAACAAGGCACCAGTGTGCGTTGAATGCGCCTTAACAGTACACGGCAGCACCTTGAAAGGGCAAACAGGGAACCCTACCTGAAGGAAGCTGCAAGAGTGAGGTTATATTTCTGAAGCATCGGCGCATTGGAGGGAGGACTTCGTAGTCAGATTAGAGAGGATGGATAGAAATGCCAGGAAATCGATCATCGAATTGTTCGACCAGTTTAAGGGCATACATTCCAGCTTGTATTTAAGCTAGTTTGCAGTACAACGGTTCTTATCTCTAAAGATGGACTCCTGCAAGAGTTTGAAAGCTCAGGACAATAAACCCATTGAACCGATGCTCGATAAATCGTCTCCCATATCCATGCAGATACCTGAAATGGGATCATTTTCATTCATTCAGTAATTTTTGCTCCGTAGCTCTTAGTAGTGTAGGAACAGTTCTGCATATTTGAGCTGCACTCTCCCCCCCAGACCGTTTTTTTGTTCCTCAAAACTGGCAACCCCAACCCCCATACTGACCCCTCTAAAGCTGAACCTCGTCGGTACATGGGTTAGGCAATCAATTGTAGATCGATGTAAAGCGCTGTAAACATTTTTTAGGAAAAACATTTTAATTGGAACAGGAATTCGCACTACATGAGCCACCACGCTCAAAGGGCGACCAAGAACCATTCCTGAAAGAAGCAGCAGCATTGAGTTTATATTACAAGAATGGCTTGCATAAAGTGTCGACGTTATGTGCTACAGTGCGTTTTTAGGAATAGGTATTAAACTAGGGCAGAAATTCGCCCAGTTGAAGCCTGCATCAGTCTACCTTAAACGTCAACGTGCATGGCCCCAGGAAGGTATGGTAATCCGTGATTAGCACTATTGCGCTGAGTCAACTTGTCTTCGAATGCACATCGTACAGTAGCGCGTAAATCTCTGTCACATGCTCACTCTTCATCAGCATGCATCAGCCCCTTGTCTGCGTCACGGACGGCCGCACCATCCCTTGTCATGTGCTTACACTCAAGAAAGCAAAAAGTCAATCAGGGTGCACGTTTTATCCGATTGGCTGCAGGCAACATGCACAAAGCCCCTGGTTTCTGCAACTCCACTCGCACAGACACGCACAACAAAAATAACTTGCGTGAGAAAACTGCGAGAAACTCTTTGCTGCTGAGCCCTTTGTAAGCCCTTTTCGCCGTGAAAACACTGTTCGGCCTGGAAAAAGTGCAAAGTTGGCGGTGTGGGTGTCTCATCTCCGACAGTAGGCGTCAATTCTAGCATTTTTATTTAAGATGCCACTATGTATGATTTCTCTGGGGTGAAGTTCCCTCACAATTCGGATAAGCTATGCGTGTAAGGTATGCGGACGGTAAAACAACACTTACCTCCTCATAGTTACCCTTTGGCTGGCCGCTGTGAGCTGTAGGTGGGTGTTCTTGTAATCCGGGTGCGAGCGCTTCCTTTTGCGGAACACTGCTTGTGGGGATCGCAGCAGACGCCTGTTCCTTAGCAATCTTACGAAAGGATACGAAGTGAATTTGCATTCATGTGTTTTAGTTAGCGACCACAAGTGAATACCTTGAGCCTCACTGGGCGCGTGAAGTGTCCACAGGTCTGTGTGCCCACAGTGGATGCAGTTAACGCGAATCGAGCATTATCACATGAAGTTTGGGAGATTATACTTGTTTTGCTAATTCACATACGTTAGCCGAGAGATTGTGACGTTCTTCTCAGGCGAATGATCATATAGCGTTTAAGAGTGTCTCGAAAATACCCCAAGCCTGAGGAAATACACGAGCCACTACGAATAGGAGTGCAGATACGATGACTTGGAGAGCACATTTTCGAATCAAAGACACGAACACAGGGCAGCCCGTAAGAGACAACTCAATAAGAAATCCGGTATTCCTCTCATTGTCAAGGTGTTACTAAGATCATGTCGTGGGTGGTGTAATTCATGCAAACTGAGTTGTGCCACTGCAGTTTTGGAATGGGATATTTGGAGAAGCATGTAGGTGACGACACAAACTTCACTGGAGTGCGCTTCAATGCACTTAAACCAAACTAAGCATTATAGAGGCGTGCTATCGGAGAGTTCCTGCAGCGCCGCTGAAGAGGTTAGTAGAAGTGAAAAGGTGACGCGGCAAATCAAGATGCTGTCACACTCCTAATTGTGTTTTGGCCTCAAGTTCGCTAGCGGTTTATCATCACGTATGCTCCGGTAGGCTAAGCACGTCGAGCACGACAGTGCTTCCCTTCCTCTCCGCAGATCTAGACAGAAATTGGAGGGCTGGTGCTGGCAAGAATATGTGGGAGGCACAAACCGAGAAATGACCGCTTCCCATCCATTGGAATCCGCTGCTTATTTAACAGTGATGGTCTTGGCGCCACATTCGATGTTGATGTGCTGGCAAGCAGATGTTTAGATGCCTAATGTCCAATCGCTTAACAGGCAGTTTCAAGGTCAATTGAAGGACTAAATTGATGGAGGCGTACTCCAGTAGAAGCAAAGATGGTTGGCGGAGCGCACCAGCGGTTGCAGAGAGCACAATACCGAGCTTCTGCACCAGGTTGTCATCTTTTGACGTGCTATCACCAGTG